GCAGTGTATTATTTGTTGAAACTGTACTTTCGATTTGATTTGAAACTGTCTCATTGCTATCTGTTTATCAATAAAACTTTGAAAAGAAAAAAAAATCATTATTTATTTTTGTGGCTGGCTCAGCCCACCCTGAGAGCAGGGCTGGTGCAGCGTGTGGTGCGGGGATCAAACCAGGTCCTTGTGCTTTGCCTAAGCTTGCATAAGCAGGCCCACAGACCACTGAGCTATCTCGCCGGCCCCTGTAGCAACACTCTAAATGTGTACTATGTCCTAGGTACTACATCTTATTTGATCTTCACAGCACACCTTAAAGGAGGTACTATGATCATTTCAAATATAAATAGTGGCTGAGAAAAATGAATTTATTTCCTCAAGTCACAAATTTAGTAGGTGGTAGGAGAGAAAGGGGACTCTGGAGTCTGTATTTTCATGTTTGTATTATGCTTTATGTTGCAGGGAGAGGTGAGCCAGAAAGCATGAACAACATCCCTGAAGTCATTTTGGTTCTCTTCAAAATCTGGGCACAGGCAGGGGACAGGTAAAGCACATCTTTTCAACTATAGGAGACTTTGAAATTCTAGTTTATAACTTGACTTGGTGAGGCAGGCTTTTGTCCCTGCTTACTTAACCATGGAGGATAAGTTTGAAAGTTAAGGACAGCCTGTATGACTGCCACACCCCTCCTGGAGGCCCATCACATTTACTGTCTCCCTCACCATACCACCGACAGCTCTTCGTACTACACCTCGCTTTTGTTGCTAATATTGAGATTTTGCTAAAGTGAGGTGGGTGGATGGTGGGACTAGAATCATAGACATAGTGAACAACAACAACAACAACAACAACAACAACAACAACAACAAAAGATCACTGAGTTTTCCATTTATAAACATGGAAAAATGAAGGCCAGGTGTGGTGATGCATGCTTGTGATCCCAGGACTCAGAGGTGGAGGGAGGGGGACAAGTGTGAATCTATTCTGGACAACTTAGTGACTTTGCAAGATCCTGTCTCAAAATAAAAAAAAAGGAGCTGGGAATATACTCAGTACAAAGGTCCTGGGTTCAATCCCCAGTACTAGTACTACAAGTAAATGAAAACTGGGTAAGAAAGACTCACTTTTAAAAGAATTGGGCTTTTGTGTGTGTGTGTGTGTGTGTGTGTGTGTGTGTGTGTGTGGCCAGCTCAGCCCACCAGGGGGTGGGGCTGGCTGGCATGTGGTGCTGGGGATTGAACCGCGGTCCCTGTGCTTTGTTGAGCTTGTTCTAAGTGGGTGCTTTAGACCACTGAGCCATCTCACCAGCCCCAAGAATTGGGCTTTTAAAAAGCTTGTTATACAACAGAAAATCTTCGCTCAGATCCCGTGCCCTGCAACTAATTGAGCTGTCTTGAGCTTAACCTGAATTTAGATTTGAGGACAAAATTTCATTATTTGAATGTGTTCCTTGGTACCTTGTACAATCTCTAGTCACTAAATTCTATGTGTTTTTCACTTTATCAGCACCATGTCTACTAAAGACAGCTTACCTTATGCACAGCTTCCACTTGAGCCTTCAAAATGTTACTCTTGAAATCAGGAGGAATTCTCACGGCATTCAGTCCTGGGCTCTCAATGGCATTATTAAGACATTTCTCAGTCAGCTTTACTACTTCTGCCTAAAAAGTACAATTTACTGCAATTAGCCTCGACAGGCCATATGTGGAAACAGAAAGCACTGACCAAAGTCTGTAGTCATATACTCAAGAAATCCTGTGTCACAAGCAGCTTTATCTTATTCTAGGCATAGTCAATTCCTACAATCACTTACCTGCAGACTCTCCAGAATTGAGAGGTTAGCCTCTATAATTAATCCAACTGAAATTAATAAAGCAAATATCACATATTCTTCTTGGGTGGCTTAAATCAGGTCTTTGTCGTTGATGGTTCAGTTATTTATTCAGTTGATTAAAGATGGGGAATTGGACGTAAGGATTTCTAAAGGTTCTCTCTCTCTCTCTCTCTCTCTCTCTCTCTCTCTCTCTTTTTATTAAGGTTCTTGCTAATTTAGATTTCATGATTTTAGCTTTAGAACAGTCACAGGGAGACACCTGGGATTTTATGTAATAGGGCCATAAGCAGGTCACTCTTGGACATAGACTTATAAAAAAATAGAATAAAACAAAAATCCAGTCAATGAAGAATATAATTAAGACAATGAAAACTATTGTGAAAAGATATAAATAGGAGAAATTAGGTTAAATATTTAAAAATTCAAGTTATCTGCATTACAGCTGATGTTTTGCTTTACTTAAATAGCAATCAATAACAACAGGCTGGCTGCCAGAGACAGGATTACATCTTGTACCTTTCTTTTTAGGTTTGAAGAATGTGTTTATTCTAATTTGATGTTCTAAATATGGCCTCCTATATCTGCTCCTCGGTGGTACCCTAAAATATGAATTTTTGATAAGCTTCTCCATGTGACTCTGATACACATAAAAGTCTGAGAATCATTTCTTGAGACTAGGCTATATGCCTATCATCTCCAAGTCTTCAGAGTGGGTCCTACTAACAGAATAGTCTTTATGTCTTTTTGAAATCAGGCTAATTGAAACAACATGGTCAGATTCTGTCAAAAAAAAGAAAAACGAAAAGTAATGTTTACTTTTACATCTTAAAAAAGCAACATCCCTACTTATTAGTTAAGGGGTATGAACCAGCCCTCCGCTTCCTGGGCGAGTGTGGCCGTCTTTGAGTGAGTGAAGTCTGAAAATGGCCTTCACTCCCCAAGTGTGACTGGGTCTCTCAGACACTGTGTGCAAAGTAGGATGGAGAGAAAGAAACTACTTTGTACTTGTATCCTTTTCAATGTTTGGATAATAAGTAAATCAAAAGGGTATGGATACATCCTGGACTGCAGCAAGTTTAAGGCTAGCCTGGACTGCACAGTGAGAGCCTATCTTAAAAGAATCAATGTGAAGTGCAACCTGCTGCTAGGTTACATTTCTTTTTTTTTTAATTATTTATTTATTTTTATTTATTACATTTATTTATTGTGTGTGTGTGTGTGGCCAGCTCAGCCCACCAGGGGGCGGGGCTGGCTGGCATGTGGTGCTGGGGGATTGAACCGCGGTCCCTGTGCTTTGCCAAGCT